CTCCTGAGAAGAAAAGTGCACACAGGGAAGATGTACTAAGAGAGAGGCTGGGTTCTCGTGAGCGGTGAAATCAAACCCAGGCACTTGTGTTGAATAAGCCAAAGTTGGCTGGGTTCAAACATAATGCTAACCCTTAAACCATTGTTCACAAACCATAATGGTGAAGTTCGCACTACCAAAGGGTGTGAAGGAATTAGAGGTGATCGTAGGGAAGGCATGAGAGAGCTGTTAAGAAGGGAAGGAGTGAGTTGTTAAGAGGGGGTCTTGGGGAAGAGATTGCACAATCCATCATCTGTTTGCAAGAGAAAGAAGCTCAAAATGATCTCCCCTTGGTTTTGTTTAGTGTAAAATGGGACAGAGAGGAACTTGTATAGGCTTTCAAGATTCTGTTATTCTATTTTACTGCAATAAAAAGCATTCCTGGAATCCTTGCCAAATTCATTTCTTGACTGGTCTACCCAAGGGCTGAGAAAAATCAGACAAATCACACTTTGGCTCATCATACAATTACAACCCCTAAAAATTACAACCCCGGTAACCCTGACATCTGCAACCCTTAACTTTTGGGGCATCAATGATTCTGTGATTAGTGTGCCAGAAATGTATCCAAATCCGGTGTGGTTTTCACTGCAGACAGCACCTTATAATCTTAATGACGTTTGGTTTAGCGTGCCATACAGAGAAATGTCAAAGCCATAGCAATAATTAATGTTAATATCTAATTAATGAGGATTATTAAGCTCAAGCAAAAGGGCTGCATGTACTACTACTACTACTGTTTTCATTCCCAGGTGTTTGTGCTTGAGTCAATTCTGTGATGGGAATAAAACCTTGAAAGGGCTTATCTCCGCTTGGAAGTTTGGATCACTCTGAGAGTTGATTTCTTTTAATACAGTACTTGTGTTTTCAATATTTCTGTGGATGCAATTTGTTGCCTTTCCCCTGGGGTCTTGCAAACCAGGATCTCTGTGCAGATATATTATTCTGCCGGCTTCCCAGTCTGGAGGAAAATAAATTGAAATCAGTGAATAATGAAGAGCAAAATAATTGTGCCCCCAAGAATTGTGTACATTTATCTTAAAGCCCAAATTAAAAGCCTTGGGTAGGGTGTTGGTGGTAGTGTTTTATTTCAGCCATGGATCAGCAAAACGTAACATGCAAGAATTACAGCTATTCTGTTGCGTTTATAAGAAATGAGTAAAATTTAAATCACTATTTATTTATCAAATTTATATGGCCACCCATCTCACCAGAAGTTAAGTCACTAGCACAGTCTCAGCAATTGTGATACCTGCATTATTAAGACGATAGAGTTAAGATTATGAAGCCAAAAGTAACTATAGTTGAGATTTATGTAATGTAAGTAAAACTATAGAACAACAACTAAAGGTAAAAATAGAAACAACTAACATGAATTGTAAAGCTGCTACATTACTAAAATCTGCAGGTAAACTATATTTCATATTAATATTGTAACTATAAGACTATAATCGTGTAGTATAAAATAAAGCAGCATAGAAATGAATCACAATAACTTCAAAGGCTAAAGAGGTAGAAATAAGCAATTATGTGGAAATTTATGGGCATAGTCTCATTAATCTGATAGCTCTAATAACTATGAGGAATAAATTGTATCGGTATAGTAATGGGCTATACATAATAAAATAAGCATCTAAAGTCCCTCATTAGCTGTGTTTATTTGTGGGTGGGGTTTACACATGGTATAACAGGTTTGGTAAGTCTAAAGAAATCAAGTCATGATAATACACTAGTAGATTGTTTTAGCAGCACCTAAATAACCTTCACTTGAGGGGCTACCAAGAGATATTTTCTGTGAAGGAGGCAGATCTGATTTGCCTTACTTTTGTCAGTTTCATGAGATACATCATTGGGAAACCTTCAGGAGCAACTTTTCAGGGGTCACGGATGAGAAAAAAAGATTGGTTAAAATTACATTCCTCATATTTCTTTAGGAATAGCATCATGCAAACAAGAGTTCTGCTCATAAAAATTGGATCCCAGCCATGCCCCTTCTGTTCTGCTGTGAATTCATTACATTTCTGTTCAGGCACCACAAAACATAATTGTCCAGTCCTTTGAAATAGCGCGTCCTGTCCTCACGTCACGATGAAGCCATAACCACTTTGGTAATCATATAAAAATAATCTTCGTTACATATTGCCCCTCTGGAGTGTGGCGGTGTATTTGTAAAATAAGTAAATATTGGTGTTGTGTCAAGGCATGAGAACTGAAAGAAGTACAGAAAGGGCAGGCATAATGAGACCCAGAAAATGAAAAATTCATGATGATGGATGCGGGTTTGTTTGTTTTTTGTTCCTAGGCTCTTTTTGCTTTATCATCGATGCTGAGGCACTTTCCATACGCCCAGCAACAATTTCTCAAACTTGGAGGCCTTCAAGTACTCAGGAATCTTTGCACAGAGAAAGGAATGGACATACTGTACATCCGCACTGTGACCCTTCTCTACGACTTAGTAGTAGAAAAGGTAAGAGGAGCCATTATACTTTACCTGTTATAGAATTAGCACATTAGGGGAGCAAGCTGAGCTGGAAGGCGGGGTTAAATCTGTCATCAGTTTGGAATCATTGCATTGCCACAAGAGACCTAAGTCCAGCACAGACACACACACATACCGGTTGACCTTTATCTTGTGCCAATTTAGCTTTGACTGTTGATTAGATTCTTGTACTAGAGGTAGCAATAATACACTCTTCGGTGCTTTTGAACTCAACAAATGCTTGCATTTCTTGCATTGCCATGAAATCTTTTCCATTGACTTTAATCTTAGTGTTGGGATTACCTATATTTCGGCTGTCCAAAGATGCCACTCTTGTGTGATCCATCTGGTTATATTTCAATAATTCTCAGGTAGATTTCATTTGGATGTTAGTCTGGACAGAGATGCATGATGGCAGGAAAGTACTTAGGAAGCTGTCTATTTGTCCAATTCCTGGTGAGAGGGCAAGCCTACCAACCTTGCTGGGAATGCTAGATGATAGGACATTAACCAGGGTCTTTATCCCTCTTCTGCCTCCCCCATTGTTGCTTTGCCCTTTGGATAGGAGGGCAGGTAAATTGTAAAGCGTAGATAATTGCCAGTTTTTTGGCAACTACTCCTAAACTTCATTGCCCATGATCTGTCTAGTTACCCATGCTGCTGCAACATCAGAAAGCAATAAAAAGATGAGGTAGATTCACATTGTAATAAATTAAACTTTTAGCCTAGGAGTCAGTGATCAAGAGGAGTGCATAATGTTTAATATTTTTCACACTGGCAGGTAGGAATGGCTACAGTTGCCACAGTTGCAATATCTTCTTCCTTCCAAGGGGAGTGTTCTTGTTCATCAATCCAGCCAACCATTCCTTCCAAGCAGGGCATTTTGTCCTTCCCTTCTGGACCCATTTCCCCCAACACCAGCTGGGCATTCTGCAGCTACTTATCATGCTTAGTCCTCTTTAGCTTAAGGTTTGGGATTGCCGCAGGGTCCCCCCCCTTTCCCCCTTTTAATGTGCACTTGAAGTCTCCTCCTTCCCTCCCTCTGTGTTTCAAATGGCCTGGTATGGGCTTCCTGTGTATGGACCCCCTAAGGCTGCTATTTAAGGAATGATTGAGATTATTCAATAGTTTTCATTCTTTCAGGAACTCTGGAGAATCAGCCAAGATCATTAGTTCCCTATTATAGATAGGATTGTAGAAAAAGCTGACCTAAAGAAAACATTGCTGTTTAAAGAAGTCCATTTGTATTATTTATATTTCAGCTACCCTGTTGTACCAGCTAACAGTTGCTCAGGTTTCTTGACATCTATCCTAGAAAGTTAATCATTTGGTCCTTAGAGAACCAGTTTGGGGAAGGGGTTAGGCACTAGGCTAGAAGCTGTGAGTGAATGAGTTCTAGTCCCCATCTTACGCATAGAACCAGCTGCGTGACTATAGGCAAATCTCTCCCTCTCCCTCTCTCTTCCCATCCCCATGCTTGTTCTTAATCTTTATAAAAGACAATAATATTTAGCATACTGCATTAAACCGAATTATACATTCATTATAAATAACGAACACATTATTCTGTATGTTTATAACGTCAGCGTGATGTGTTGATAGTCGCACATAATTAGATTTTTATCCCACCCTTTTAATATACTGTACTGCATAACTCACGACAACAAACACACCTAATACTCCTGCCTCCTGTTTTCCCACAACAACAATCCTGTGAGGTGGATTGGCATGAGAAGAGATTGAATGGCCCAAAGTCACGTAGCGGCTTTCATGCCTAAGAGACACTTAGAGCACACAGACTCCTAGCTTCCTTCATCGTTACATCAAGTTGACTTTCACTAAATAATGTCCAGTAAATGCATCGTTCCCCAACCTGGATACCCTTCAGATGTGTGGCATTTTAGGGCATTGATAGCAATTACCTTCTGAAAATTTGGGAGGTCACTCAACCTAAGGCAGACATGTCAAATGTCACATGACGTCGTGAGACATATCGGGACAGTTTTGCCATTGCCGGCAATGGGGTGGGCGCGGCTTCCGGATGACGCGTCTGACCTGTGGGCCGGCAGTTTGACACCCCTGACCAGAGCCGCATGTGGCTCTTTGAGCCTTCCCCTGTGGCTTCCAGCTTCCTCCGCCATTTGCAGAGAGAGACAGAAACAGAGAGAGGCACTTGCGCTTCCCTCTCTCTCTCTCTCTCTTTCTCTCTCTCTCTCTCTCTCTCTCTCTCTCTCTCTCTCTCTCTCTCTCTGTGTGTGTGTGTGTGTGTGTGTGAGAGAGAGAGAGAGAGAGAGAGAGAGAGAGAGAGAGAGAGAGAGAGAGAGAAAGAGTGGACTCACGGTGTTCTCCCAGGAGCCCACACACACACACACACACACACACACACCTATAATAAAGGTAAAAAAGGATATATGCAGTGTTATCTTCATTTTAGATATCAAACGGGTTTTGCAGCTCCCAGTGTTTTGTTTTCGGTGGGAAACGGGTCCAAGTGGCTCTTTGAGTGTTTTGGGTTGCCTACCCCTGACCTAAGGGAATAAATGATGACTCCATTGGACACAGAAGAGTTGATCTTCTCTTATTAAGTTGGGCAGGTGAGATTGGATGTGGCTCCTTCAGACAAAAGAGTTGACTTGTAAGTGTCTGTGGAGATTTTCAATCATCCAGGCCATGGTTGTCCCAAGGGAACTTTTTTTTGTAAAAGGCAACTGGACTTTTTGGCTTTTTTTCATCTGAAAATATTTCGCTTCTCATCC